GTAGTGTCCGATAAGGACCCTAGGTTCACTTTCCGATTCTGGTCTAGCCTTCAGCAAGTTATGGGAACGAAATTGTCCCTTAGTACTGCATTCCACCCTCAGACTGATGTACAGTCAAAAAGGACGATCCGCACACTTGAGGATATGCTCCAAGCTTGTGTTTTTGACTTCGAGGCCCATTGAGATGACCATTATCCCTAATAGATTTGCCTACAATAACAGTTACCAAGAAAGTATTAGCATGGCTCTGTATGAAGCATTATACGGCCGCCCATGCTGGTCGCCGATATGTTCAGAAGAAGTGGGTGATAAGAAACTGTTCGGGCCAAATCTCATAGAGGAGAGTACAACCAAAATAGTTAAGATCAGGAACAAACATTCAAACGACTCAGAGCAGACAGAAGAGTTATGCGGACACCTGGAGGAGAGATTTGGAATTTGAGAAAAACGATCAGGTGTTCCTTAAAGTCACCCGCATCAAAGAAATCCGTAGGTTTCGTAAAAGTGGGAAACTAACTCCAGAACTTTTCAGGGTCTATAATGTGTTTCATGTCCATGTTATGCAAGTATAACCCGGACCCCTCTCACGTCTTGGCCTACGAGCCTCTTTCACTCCAAGAGAATCTGTCCTACGAGAAAGTATCGGTCGGTATTGTGCACCGAAATAACAAATTACTCTGCAACTGGAAAATTTCCTTTGTTAAGGTCCTATGACAAAATCACACATCAAGAGAAGCCACATGAGAGCTAGAATCAGACTTCAGAACTCAATATCTCAACTGTTTGATTGAGTGAGAGAGAGACAAATTTGAAAGATTAAATTTCTTTTACGGGGAGAGAGTTGTAATACCTAAATTAATTTAATTGTAATTTAAATTAATTTATAAATATAATCTTTGAATTTTTTGAATTTTAATTTAATGTAAAAAATGAAGGAAAATAGGAAGAGGATGAAATTGAAAACAATTTTGGAAAAAACTGGGTGAAAATTTAGATTCTGATGGTTTTTTTAAAGAAAATCAGAAACTGAGAGTCAAAACACAATTTAGAAAAATTATGCCACGCAGGATGTCTAGTCAGTAGCCCCGACAAACCAGAATGCACTGCGTGGCAATGGATGCTAACGCGGTGCCATGCAGGAGGCCACGCAGGTGATCCGCGTACCTGTGATTGGACGGCCCAGATTCACTCCAACGCGCACGGACGGTACGGATGCGTTTCGCCCCAAACAATATCGGACGATTAGATTTAAACGTGATCAACGGTCCAAATCCGTTTTCTATTTAAATGCAATCGGACAGCCCATATTAGATTGCAATGAATGACCCAAATTCACTCCCTATTTAATCACGATTGGACGGTCCAGATCAAATGCGATGGACGGTCCAGATTAAAATGGGACGGATATAAATAATCCTCTTCACACCAAATCCTAACCCTAGCTGCCAGACATCTTCGCTGGAGAAGAAGACACAACCGCCGGGAAGGAGAGTCGCCGCCACCCGCTGCCGCGCCGGAGCCACTTCCGACCGCCAAAAGTGGTAAACATTTTCTCATTTTCTCAGAATTTAATTTTAAACACCCCCATGGCCGAATCGGAGCAAAAAGACTGGCAGATTAGCCGAAAATCGCGGGTAAAAACTGGTGGTGCTGCCGTGGGAAATTTCAAAAAAAGCCTCCGATGAGGCCCTCCCCGATTCCCGTTCTGGGTAATTCTTTCACCATTTTAACAATCGTTTTCTTCTTTATAGGTTGACTAAAGCAAAACACCCAACCGCAAAGGTGAGCTGGCGGAGCCACTGCACCAGAGAACCCCGCCACTGGTGAGTTTCGGTTTTTTATTTTTATTTTTTGCCAACCGATATCCCTTAACGTATTTTCTCGCAGGGATTGATGTAAAACAAGCCGAAAACAGCCGACCCGAGGCTGTCGCCGCGGGAGGCAGCGCCGTTGCTGGAGCACGAAAGAGCTACGGTGCCGGAATTTTAAAATTGGCCAAAAAGAGGTCCTGGCACCGATTTTGAATTTTTAGGATATTTGTAGGTACTTGTAGCGTATTTTAATCCCCAAAAAAAACTTCAGGAAACCTAGGGACCGCTAGTAGGCGCAGTCAACAATTTTAGCTTTTCGGGCATTGATTTGAATAAAAATCTCTCACTTTATTCTCTGTTATGAAATTGAAGTCTAATTAATAATAATAATACGGTATTTGGGTAGTTTAGAAAATATTCATGATTAAGTACATGTTAGTAATGGAGCCAGCACTGAAAATTATTCATTGTCGATTCTGTTGATTTATTTTACAGTTTGAATGCATGATAATATCTTATTGATTGATCTTATAGTTTGAATGCATGTATTGCTTGCTTCATGTGATTATGGTTGAATTGAGAAACTGAAAATTAAAGGAAGTCAGGAAATTGTTTGATTAAGTGAATGGATAAAACAGCAGCCTTACTGGATATTATGGGAGATGGTGAACGGATCGGGTACATAGGGGACCCTACCGTAAACGTTACCTCATACTAGACGGGGTATCGAGATTTGGTAATTTGGCGCTCATACCGGACAGAGTATTAGGACAGCCCGTTTTACCCTTGTATCGGACGGGGTATCGAAGTTTAGTAATTTGGTACTCATACCGGACGGGGTATGGGGATGGCCCGTTAATTGAAAATGTTAAAGAAAATAGTTCACGCATTGTGGGGATATCCTTATAGACTCCCATGGATACTGGTAGACTGATAAAATAGAAAATTGTTATCCCAATCGATTACATATAAAATTATAATATATGCTCTGTTATTATCTCTATAGGTTGTTTTTTAAAAATCTCGCTACAGTAAGTAGGCGGTAAATAGTTTTATTTATGATAAATAATTTTATTTAATTAAGAGTTTCATTAGTTGTTTTTATGATTTCTACCAACCTTCATTTCTGTGTCGGTGAGCAGCGTGATATTCTTACTGGGATAGTGTAACTCATACTTTCATTAACTATTTCAGATCAAGAGAATCAGGATCCAGAGCCCGATTTACAAGAGGATTGTAAGTAGAACGTTCAGTCGTTTACTTTTAATTTATTTCATTAGTTATGAATTGTTCTTTTAGAATGGTTATTCTCTTAAGTCCTATTTGGTACTTTCAGTTATTGTGTAAGGAATATAAACCCTAACTATTTATTTTACTTCCGCACTAAATTTATAATTTATTTCCTTTAGAATTTTCAGGATTGTTACAATATATATTAAATTAATAATTATACGCACATATATATAGATTTAATATATGTATATATATGTTTAATTAATATTTTTAATTAGTTTATTTATAAAATTAAATAAATATTTTATTAATTTACTTTTTATTATTCGGTTATCATCTAAATTAATTGAATATATTCGATTAGTTTAGTTTCAGTTATTACATATAGTTCGAACGATTTGGTTAGTTGTAAAGTTTCAATTAATTTTTAATTATTGATATTTTTTAATCGAACCGACTAAATTAACTGAATGCTCTCCTCTAATCGTTCAGTCTCATTAAAAACGTTAAACTTGTTACTATATAGGTATATTATGGGTTGTTATTGGTTGACTTATAATCTTTAATTTAGTGAATTTAATGTTTATTTCATTAATATATTAGGGTAGTTGGGATGATCACATTGAGATTTATCTAAACAAAGTATTACTATATTAGTAAAAGAATATTTCATGAATATTAGGTTCTCTTAATTAAGATAATCATAATAGTATTAATATTTGATTTAATATTTTGTTAAAAAATTATTTAATTATTCTCTCGATGAAATCGACATATACATAAAATAATGTATGCATAATATCACGATAAAAATATATTTTTTATTAATTTTTATAAAAATAAATATTTTAATTTTAACTAATATTTAATATAAAAAAAGAACTACTCTTTTTATACAAAAAATTGAATAACTTTAAGTAATTTAAAGCGTCCTATCAATTTAAACACAATTATTTGCACAATTCCAAACAACATCTTTTATAAAATAATACAATCTAAATTACAAATAATTCTGAATTTTTTAGGCTAAAAGAATGTTACTTGTTTCATTGTAAGATTTTAATAACTAAATTTCTTTTTCTCAAAAAATTAAAAAGGTATGAAAGAACAAATGGAAGAAAAAGAAAGTCCCAGCAATTTTGGGATGTGACAAGTTTATGATCTCATGCTAAGCGCCATCACTCATCAGTCATAACCTCCGCATGGCAGCCGTGAAAATCTCTTCGATGGGGAGTTTTTATGTCAAACTAATTGAACACGACAAAACCTAATGCAACTCACCATAAACTAAATCCAACGGTCAGAATTCAAACCCACAGCTCTTATCCACTGATCTGCCGCACAGGATCCCCTCTCATTTCATAACCACACCACTCCTGGTTTTATCAGTAAAAACGCAGCGGTTTTACGCCACGAAGTATTGCGGGAATCCTTGGGTAAAACCACCGCACCGTCGTTATCAAACACCCACAGTCTTCGTATCGGATCACAGCCGCAAAATACAAAAATTGGGCCCCACAGAAAAATGGGCCCACGTGTACGTAAAATTAAAAATAAACCTAGGAGCAGGTTTATTCCATAATCCACGTCCAAAATGCACCGTATTCACCAATATATTTTTTATCAATAAAATTTTAATTTTATTTTAATCTACTTAAATTAATTAAATTTTGATTAATATTTATTTATATTTATTTTTAGGTAGATTATATTTATTAAAACTATTTTTATTTCAATTAAAATTTTATAAATTTTAATTAATTATTTAAATATATTATAATTTTTTTAAAATTAAAAAAAAATGAATAGAAAACACGTATTAAGATGGATATAACAACCTAGTGTCCATCTGTACGTTGAATGGCATTTATGTAATACTGGCACGAGAGCAGGAACTCACATGTCATTTCAGGAGGGAAGCAGAAAAGAACGACACGTCTTTAGTTTCCTTCCTCGCCATCTTCGCTCTTCTTCTCTCTCTCTCTGCGTCTACCTGATTTAGTGTAAAAGAGGAGAGAGAGAGGGGGGAGAGAGAGAGAGAGAGGGAGAGGCAGAGAGGGAAGCAAGAAAAGCTTTGAGTATCCGAAAGACGCTCTCCTCTCTATTCGTCTTCTCTTCTCTTTTCGTCTTTTTCTCTCTGGCTCTGCTTGTGTAGAGTACAGAGAAACCGAAAAACGCTGTCTTTGCTCACTTATTTCGCCATGATCTCGTTGAACCGAAGCTGTTATTTGGTAATTTGCTTTGAAAAATCTCTTATAATCAGACCCATTTCTCTTTCCAGGCTTTTTGACCATACCCATTTCATCAATTAGCTTGGCTTGCTTCTCTTCCACGTCGAAAGTCGCGAGATTTTCTTTTTTCTTTTTGGTCTAATTTCTACAGGTTTTTGTTTCTGGCTTTAGTGTTATGAGGAGCATAAAGTTTATTATATTATCACGGATCGAATGCTCTCATCAGTTTCTCACATCTGGGTTGGTGTAATTTGCTATTTATTGTTCAATTTACGGAGTTATCCAAGTTTTTTCATTTTCACATTCAATTCCATTTTTTCGGTCTTCTGGGTTTTAACAATTTCGCTCAAAAGATTCACAAAATCTCAACTTTATAAACCGGGTTTTATTGATCTCATCGTTTCATGTATCACATCGAAAATCACGTATTCTTAATCCGTTTATTTCCTCTTTTGTATTTAACACGCATTGAAGATCTTATGGCTCATATCTACTGTTTTCAAGCTGTTTAGATGCAAGACATGCAAATTATTACCTTGTTGTGTCTTCTTGTATAGATTTCCTTGATTCTGATATTTTTTCTTGTGTTACCTCTTTTTGGGTTGAACAGAATAAAACAGACCTGCCTGGGTCTCATAGTCCTTTGTCTTCTAGGCATAAAAAACTATTCCCTGCTACAGTGAGAGTGGTGGCTGCCTCGTCTTCCAATAGAGACCGTAACGCCAGCGTCGTGATGGAGA